CAGAATTCGATGTTGTCGTAAGCCCGAAACGGACGAAGGGATTCAAGTGGACAGTGAATATTGAGCATGCGACCCTCAAGCTCTCAAAGATTCCATACGTGCAGTATACCAAACACCAGCACTTGGAAATGATGGAGCGGTGTTCAACGTTGTATGCGACAGCGGGAAATACTCACCTCGAAACGACCAAGCTTTGCGTGAAATGCTCCGGTTGCTGGTATCAAAGAATAACCTCAAGTTTACCGTGTTCAGAGACTCCCTAAAAGCCTTTTCAGATTGGTCATTCCCAAAGGTGTGTCAACTTTACGGACTTTGTGAATCAGACGATCTTTCATTATCAGTATTCCCACCTTTTATTTGCGAGTGTAAAGAGCTGAAAGATGATTCTTCCCGGGTAATACTTCGAAATCTTATTACCGAACTGGAGGCCCGTCTCAAGTCTATTCCAATCAGTGGGAACGAAGCATCGAAATCACAGTATGTTTGTTCGTACCTTGTCGCCGGGGTAAATCTATACGAAGGCAAGTTTGAGCTCCGACCAGAAAAAAAATATCACAGGACCCAACGGACACGGTCCAGTCGATTTCGCAATAGACCTGCTCCGAACCGCAAAAACGGTTGACGTGACAGAAATAAAGAACGAAGATTTTTACAAGGGTATTGCTCAGAATGCCGTTCAGCTCGAGTCCGCTTTGTCAAACTGTAAACGTAAGGCGAGCGAGATGGAGGAAGATAGTGTGTTCGTGGGTAAGGTATTTGGAATTGTCACAGATGCGGAAAAGTGGTATTTTATGGAATGTTCACTCGATGATCAAGACAGGCTAAGATTCAAACTATCGGAGCCGGTGGTCGTTGTATATAAGGACGAGAATGTGGAAAACATGGTTAGGAAAATTCTCGGGCATATTGCATGGTTGTTGGAGGAGGTACAAAAGCCGGATTCAGATTCACGTGAAGAGAGGGTAATAAAGAAGCATAGGTCATCGAGTAATCTTGCAGAAAAGTCGGGTTAGATGATCGTGTATATTAGTGCCAGAAACCTCGTCATATATCCCGGGATACGTCCCGAACTTTGTATTTATTTTTGCATGTATTAATAAAATTTTTTTCTGATCATTCCCTGGGAAACGGTTTTTGCCAGGAAGTGATTTTGTGATTTCGTATGATTAAGTAAATACAAATATTGTGAACAAATCATGTTAGTGCTGATCCGGAATTGCTGATCACGAGCTATCTCCCAATAACAATTTACAATTAAAACGCGAAACGTACGCAAATTGCATTACAACAATCACATCACATTCCTTGTTCTGCAAGATTAAACTGTGAAATTACCTAAACATAATACGCAAAAAATGTTCTCAAACAATTCAGATTTTTTCATGCTAGTCCAATCACTAGTATTATACCTAAATACTCGAAGAGTGGAAAACCGTATCACTGCTATCAAAAGACCATGGCGAAACCCGGGCGCTAATACCGAATTGCTACAAAGGATCGATGGTCTTGACCGCAATATAAAGCTAAAATTCTTCTCTACCATGAGAAGAGCTACAAAATGGCATTTGGCTGAAAACGAAACATTCTATATAGTCTATGTGGGTGGGGTAGTTATAGACAAAAT